CCCCCCCAAATTAGGAATCTAATCCTCCCATAACAATTTCTACAGAAATCTGATTGCTTTAGATAATCTGAAATTTTCACTGTGTGGTCCTAATAGAGTAACTTTCTTCCTGCCAAGACGATAATTTCTCTCCTACTCAGTTACTGTGCTAGGTTGAAATCACAGACACTTGGAACTGGCAAGCAATGTCAAAAAGACTGTAATGGTTTCTGTAAACAGCAACTTCAGAAATCCATGTTGTGTTTAAAATACAGATCTCATCCTTAAAAGCTTGTTCAGATTATTCACACCTTTAGAGAAGCTATACTTTCTTGATCCAATAGTTATTGAATGCTACATAGTTCCAGCTCCCAGCATGGCTAATATGTGGCATTCAGTCAAATAATGTGATCGTTTCTCTTGTTTGGCAGAAGCACCAGTCTTCCTCCAGAAAAAGAACAAAGAAAAAAAAAAAAAAGAATCATGCAGTTTTAACTTGATGTCAGTTCATCAGTCTTTTTTTAATTAAGATGCTAGGCAAGTATTAAGCAGACATAATAGGAAAATATTACTTTGACAACTGAGAGCGCTATATTAGATCAAGTAAAAAAGAAACAGATTTTTCTTAACTAAAGAACTTAATCAACTTTTTAACTTTGGTATGTATAACTCTCTCTATTTAGCATTATTGATAAAAATACCATTAAAATAAGTACCACCAAAATCACACTGAATTTGTAAAAAATACTTGAAAAAGAAACATTTAAAAAATTGTAAATACCTTTTCTAAGCCAGCTTTGACAACTTATGAGGTCATTCCCTGTTTGCGTAACTGCAACATTTCAATACACTCTGACAGCCTTTGAGCCAATGTGGTGAAGCACCTTAATTTGCCTTTTCTGATTCATGATCTTTCCCCTTTCCAGCCCACCCTCCTTTCTTCCAGAAGTTAGCTGTGAAATTGAATTAATGTACCAAAAGTGAGTTTAAACTGTGGTTTTCACACATCACAGAGAAACTCCACATCTATACTGAGAGACATTTTTGACTAGCAATTTTTTAAACTTTTACTAAAAGTTTCAATCATCAGTAGAATGAAGAAAAAAATTCAACAGCAATTAACATATCCTTATGAGAATCATAATTATTACACTATGTTAGAAAGGGAAGAATAAAATTTTTGTAAACATATCTGAACATTTCTATTTCTAAATTTTCTTAAATTTAAGTCAATGTTAATTTTTTGAATGAGTTTTCTAATTAGTTTTGTAGCCCTGAATTTGGGATAGTGTATGATATGCAGACTGTACATGCATCATTCTTCTTCATCTTCTTTTACTTAGGTAGGACCAGTGGATACAAACAGAAATTTAACTAAAACATTGATGCAGCTGCTTATTCATTATTAAATACTAACAATATAGACAGAGAAATTTTAAGCCCTGAAGTGCTTTACAAGCTTTGAGCTTCACCTGGCAATCTCAATGTTGAATTGCAGTAAAAAGAACAGTTAATACCTTTTGAGCTTTATATTTTTATTTGTAGGGCTAGGTAGGTCACAGAGAGAATTAAGTTAACAGGATTCCCAATTGCCAGAAAATGACAGCAACAGTATCAAGTGAGGCACTTTTGAAGTGACAGAATTAGGAATTAAATCAAGCTTATCTCAATTACAGTAATATGCTTTAACTATGAAAAACTTTTGGTTTATATATTGTATCTGGGAAAGACATTTTTTGCTCCAAATCTGCTACGAGTGAGTTGCTTTTCACTGCAACACAGAATTATCACACTTGCATATGGGAAATAGAACTCATTTCCCTGAAGTACTGAATGACTCACGAATTCTGAGTGCCGACAAACACTAATTTGCTTCATGTTGGTATAAGACTTCTAGAAAAGACCAATTAAATTCATTCAAAGAAGGCAACAAATCTCATAGCTAATATATTCATAGTAATGCATTTCCAATGTGGAAACATATTGCTCTGCTAGACAAAAAGAAATAATTTAATTTGAAATCCTTCCCCCAATTGCTAACATCTGATCTGTCAGAAAACCCACTTCTTTTAGTCTGTGGCCTGTATCAACAGCTCCTAATCAATACAACTTCAAATACAACAGCAGAGACCAAATACAGACAACCAGTCATTTATGTAACTTAGTTATGTATCAGGTTTACATGCTACAAAGAATATAA